GTTACCAGCAACCGAACAAGGGCGCCGTCCTTAGGGAGCAGTAACGGGTGTCGAGCCCCGTACGGCAGTTGAGAATTTATCAAACGTCCGCCAACGCGTAGCATCCCAGCGTCGTCCAGGAAGAGGTTCAGACGGGCCAGAGCGCCCTTGACAACGGAGCCCCGCTTCAAGGTTTCAATCACGGGCTCAAAATGCTACGCTTGGACCATACGGGTCCAATGCATCAAAGCTTCGCGGCGCTCGCTAGGGGACAAAACGGAATCAGAGATTCGGTTGGACGGGTCTCTCGAGTTGCGGACAAATCGACGCAACCAAGCAGTCACTCCTAAGAGCTTATCGAGAGAGCTGTAACGTTCTAGCAGGGAGAAATCCCGAGTGGGCTTATCGTTGCCCACTCCTACTCGGGCTCGTAGGCCAGGCAATTCAATCGGTTCGGAGTATTTATTCTGGGGCCAGAATGACTAAGACTCAGTCAACCAACTGGGACCCCACCACAGCGGGTGGTCAACCAAAGAGGGGGTTTCACAGCCGCGAAAAGCGCAGTCTGCGGGATTAACTACACTGGGACATGTCTCCAGTTTAGAGACGTCCCAGAATTCTGGATTTGAGACACGCGGTTCGCCACAAAGACCTCAAGATTGTGAGGTGCAGCCCTGAGCCAACAAAGTACTATCTCACTGTCCGACCACGCGTAGACGTCCGTAATGTCGATTACAGACTTCAAAGACGAGTGAACGTGGTTGAGGAGTCGCGAGAGAAGAGCGGCTCCGGACAGTTCCAATTTAGGGATAGTCAAGATAGATGGGAGCAACCTTGCTTTTAGCAAGTACGAGATGGACGGAAGTATGGCCAGAAGAGCTCACAGTCCGCAAATATACGACAGCAGCATAGCCTTTCTCAGAGGCGTCGCAAAATCCATGTAGGGTAGTCCTGCATTTCCCTGGAGGGAGGAAGGACCTTGGCATGGAGACCCGGTTGATGTCCGGAAGGGAGGACACAATGGAGAGCCATCGCATCGCTAATAGGCTGGTCCCAACCCAACCCGGATATCCAGAGCTTTTGAAGAAAGCACTTAGCCAAAAAAATGACCGGAGTGATCCATCCATTAGGATCGAAGGTGCGGGCTACTGTAGACAGCACGGAGGGCTTGGTCCATGCTTTAGGAGGGGGATCGAGTTTGACTCGATACGTGAAAGTATCCTGAACAGGCTGATATTGAATGCCCAGCACAGTCAACAAATTAGGATTTTCAGGGTGGTCGAATAGATGAGGGTCTTGTTGATCCTGTCCTGGGAGATCCTTCAAAATATGAAGGGAGTTCGAAAACCATTTGCGCTACTCATAACCTCCGGACTTCAGGATGGCAATCAATTTGTCTCGCAATACAAGAGCCTCCTCGACGGTGGAGGCGCCCGTGCAAATGTCGTCCATGTAGACCGAAGTCTCCAAGATAGAAGCCCCCCGAGCGTATTTTAGACGCTCTCTCTCTCTCAGCGAGTTCAAGGAGGGTTCGCATGGCGATATACGGGCTGGACCGGAGTCCATAGGTGGTGGTGTTCAACTCAAACACCTGTATCGGATCGCTGGGCTTCTCGCGCCACAATATCAGCTGGTTTCGACGGTCATCACGATGGACCACTGATTGTCGAAACATCATCCGAATGTCGGCTACGACGGCTTGGTGCCGACGGAAGTGGGACAAAATGTCGGATATGTCTTTGATCAATTTAGGACCAGAGTGGAGACACTGGTTCGGGGACACCACCATTTGACGAGGGGGCGGAGCCGTCAAAAACTACCCGAATCTTACTCCCAGGGGTCCTCAACACCGCATGGTGAGGGAGGAAGTAGTGCTCCTGTGACCGCCAGTTGAAGTTGGACGGTGACATGTGACCCAGCTCTTGATACTCGCGCATGAACTCGACATATTTGTCGCGAAAGGCTGGGTCGCGCAGCATACGTTATTTAAAAAAAAAGAAGTCCCGCTGGGTTTCTTGCTGGTTCTTCCCAGGACAGAGGGTTTTTTTCGAACCAGTGGTAAAGTAAAAAATGACTTTCAATAAGAATTACACATGTAATGTATATTGAATAAAAAATATTCTATTCTATTCTATTCTATTCTGTACGGCGCTCCATGGAAAGCAACCTCTTTTCGGCCAGGGTACGAGATTGCCCCAAAGGGGCCGTGAGTCAAGAAAGGGTAAGCGAGTGACAAAACGACCGTCAGCACGACGGCCGGTATTGTTCTGGTAGAACAACTCGCACTCACGGTCCAGAGGGTTGACTCGAGCCGCGTGTGGTGGCTCCTCAATTTCCCAGAACCGCTGGACGACGTCCGAAAGGGACACGCCCACAACTGAGAGCGGGTCGGCCGTCTGAGGAGGTGGAGACCACAGAACCGGTCCAAAGAAGCTGTGCCCAAATACAGTGAACATGGCTGACAAGCCATCGGGCTGTAGGGCTCGTATCTCGCCTAACAAGATGAACCCCATCGCGTCGGCCCCCAGCAACAAATCTATAGGCCCAGGTTGGGACCATTCAGGGTCTGCCGGTCTCAAACCCGGCGCACAACGAACCGCGCTGTCATTTATACGGACGTTAGGGAGAAAACCTACAATGTCATCGAGGACATTTACTTTAACTAGAATGTGAAGGTGTGCGCTGGCAGGGCCAAACATCAACTCCGCTTGTCCCCTAGGAGCAGGACGCTCGGCACCTCCGATACCTACCATTGGACGTGATTCAGTCCAATAGAGCGTGAACTGTTAAACAGTCGCCACTCGGGTTGTACACCTTCACTGAGGCCGTCGGCAATAGAATAGTTTGACAAGTGGACTGTTGACGGCTCAAAGGATCAGTGGAGGCGGCCGTGGTGGGAGCTAGGGCGGCAGCTACCTATCTGGAACTGCCTCCATCGGACAGGCACTCGAAACGGGGTCCAGAAAGCGGCATTCCGGCGGCATCTCAATGACCCGTGGTTGGAAATCACCTAACGGGCCGACCTGGGGAGCTTCGGGGAACCTCGGCCTTGAGGCCCGGGACAGATTCGAGGTCGCAGGAACCCCGTAGCACCGGTACCGACCAAAGGGGGGAGGGTGGTACTCCAGTCGCGGCCACTCAGCTAACGGGGGTGAGAAGGGTCTAGCTGATCGCTGAGTGGCCGTGAAGTTCCTCTCAAGGGCGACGACCCTCCCGCCCCTAGGGGACGACCCCCGACTGGTCGAGGGAGGGACCCCCTTCAAACCTAGGGGCACGGTGGCCGCCAGGGGAGCGCCGAGCGTCGCCTGACAGAGGGCGTGGCTGAGCGCCTCCGCCCGTGGGAGTTGAGGGTCCGGCAGAGCCCCGAGAGGAAGCGCCGTTCGCACCCAGGCACAAAACGGCATGGTGGTTGCCCTGGCAGTGCGGACAGGGCCGCTGGTGCGGGCAGTCTCGTTGGAGGTGCCTTTCCAAGCACGAGTAGCACCAGGGGCGCTCCTTGGCGATGGTTCGCCTCGCCGGGACCGGCTTACCCAATAACTTCGGGCACGACGTCACCCAGTGATCATATGCTCGACAATAGGAGCAGGGGGGTGCCTCCCTGGTCGCTAGGCTATAAGATGGTAGGGGGCGGTGCCCTCCCGCGGCAGTTCCGCTCGGCCTTAGTGGGGTTGGCGACGACTTGCCCGGCGGATTCCGCCTCTCCCTGGGCACGGCTCGGTTGGCAATCCGTAGGTCGTCGACGGTGCCCGCTGCGTTCTCAATTTGCCGGCACTGCTCCTCCAAGAACCGCAAAAAGGGCGGAATATAGGAGGCGCCGTCCCCGCCGTACCTCTCCTCAAAATGGATCCGAAGATAGAGAGGTAGGCGGGACAGCACGATGTGGAACAACAAGAAGGACCATTCGTCCACCGGTAAATCCAGCCGCCTCAACGAATTACAGGCACCACGACTGGATTTACGATATCCAGACGTAGTCTGGCCCGGTCCCTCAGCAGCGGGAGGTTTAGAAGCTGCCTAACGTATTCGTCCGCAATTTGCCGGACGTTGGTGTACCTTCCGGCGAAGAGGTCCCGGGCAGTCTGGTAGGCGTCGTCCGACAATTTCAAATGGCCGACGACGCCCAGGGCCTCCCCCTCCAGTGAGGCCAGGAGGTACGCCATCTTCTGACTTGGTGTCAAGTCCCTCCGGGCGTCCACTAGGCTATCAAAAAGGCCAACAAAGGTCAGCCAGTCGGAGAGGACCCCGGAGAACCTTGGCAGGTCCAGAGTTGGGAGTCGTCCCAACAGCTCCAGCTGAGTAGGCTGCTTCCGAGGGGACTCGGGCAGGCCACTCAGCCGAGCTTCACGCGCTTCATTAGCATACTTGGCCCCCGCCTCGATCAAGTCGTCCGTGAGCGAAAAGATTTGCTCGTAGTCCACGAGGCAGGAGTCTAGGACTCCCTGTTCCGCATCCGAGGCCACAAGCTCAGTGTAAGCCTCCTCCACTACGGCCCTTCGGGCAGCGACCTGCTCGAGCCGCTTCCCTAAACTATGGACCCGATCGGGTCGCCCTATCAAAGTATGGGCATTCGCGGCACAGCGCAGCTCCGCCTGCAGACGAAGCGCCGGTGGCTTGTGCGATGGCATCACTACTAACTACAAATTACTATTAAATTAAATTAAATACAAATTACACTACACGGCAAGTACACACTACAGTCGGTCAGCAAGATGCCTCGCTCAGGCGACCGACCCTTCGGCAATTTAATCTACCTACCCGAAATACCTGACGCGTAGGTACCTAACCCTAAACTACACTCTTGCTTGCGCAGCCTAACGGGCGTGGTTCTAACCACCGATCCGCTAACATAACAAAAAAAAATTTTTTTTAATATTACGGCCGGGAAATTGTGGTGATTGGAGAAACAATCAACCACGCTCTGCTACCAAAATAATAAATGAATGCAAACTATCTGTAACTTCTAGCACCTGCTGACTCTAGCTCTGTCGACTTATGGATTTAACTCATGTGTACACTGGCAGAGAATGCGGCGACCCCGTACCAGGCGACAGTGTACATCGGCGGCATGCAGTACGGCGTGGGCTTCGGCTCCAGCAAGCGGCAGGCCAAGTCTGCGGCCGCGCGCGCCTCCATACACATCCTCATACCCGAGATGCGGGACCAGCTCGAGCCCGCGCCCACACAGAGCGAGCCGGACTTCACTGTGAGTGCGTCCCGTGTACACACATACACATACACATCTTCATCCTCATACCCGAGATGCGGGTCCAGCTCGAGCCCGCGCCCGCACAGAACGAGCCGGACTTTATCCTGAGTGCGTCCCGTGTACACACATACACATACACATCCTCATCCTCATACCCGAGATGCGGGACCACCTCGAGCCCGCACCCACACAGAAGAGTCGGAGTTTACCGTGAGTGCGTCCCGTGTACACACATACACATACACATCTTCATCCTCATACCCGAGATGCGGGTCCAGCTCGAGCCCGCGCCCGCACAGAACGAGCTGGATTTTATCGTGAGTGCGTCCCGTGTACACACATACACATACACATCCTCATCCTCATACCCGAGATGCACACATACACATACACATCCTCATCCTACTGCCCGAGATGCGGGACCAGCGCGAGTCTGCGCCCACACAGAGCGAGCCGGACTTCACCATGAGTGCGTCTCGTGTACACACATATACATACACATCTTCATCCTCATACCCGAGATGCGGGTCCAGCTCGAGCCCGCGCCCGCACAGAACGAGCCGGACTTTATCGTGAGTGCGTCCCGTGTACACACATACACATACACATCCTCATCCTCATACCCGAGATGCGGGACCACCTCGAGCCCGCACCCACACAGAAGAGTCGGAGTTTACCGTGAGTGCGTCCCGTGTACACACATACACATACACATCCTCACCCTATTGCCCGAGATGCGGGACCAGCGCGAGCCGGCGCCCACACAGAGCGAGCCGGACTTCACCGTGAGTGCGTCCCGTGTACACACATACACATACACATCCTCACCCTATTGCCCGAGATGCGGGACCAGCTCGAGCCCGCGCCCGCATAGTGCGAGCCGGACTTCACCGTGAGTGCGTCCCGTGTACACACATACACATACACATCCTCATCCTCATACCCGAGATGCGGGACCACCTCGAGCCCGCACCCACACAGAAGAGTCGGACTTCACCGTGAGTGCGTCCCGTGTACACACATACACATACACATCTTCATCCTCATACCCGAGATGCGGGTCCAAATCGAGCCCGCGCCCGCACAGAACGAGCCGGACTTTACCGTGAGTGCGTCCCGTGTACACACATACACATACACATCCTCATCCTCATACCCGAGATGCGGGACCACCTCGAGCCCGTACCCACACAGAAGAGTCGGACTTCACCGTGAGTGCGTCCCGTGTACACACATACACATACACATCTTCATCCTCATACCCGAGATGCGGGTCCAAGTCGAGCCCGCGCCCGCACAGAACGAGCCGGACTTTACCACGAGTGCGTCCCGTGTACACACATACACATCCTCATCCTCGTACCCGAGACGCGGGACCAGTTCGAGTCCACGCACGCGCACACAAAAACGAACGCACGCACGCACGCACGCACACGCACATATGCACATCCATTAGGAATGCGATGTTTCGTCAATAGATCTACAGTTCTAGTTGCGTTAAACGAAATTGGAAATGATTACCATTATAACTGTCATGTTTGAAAAATGATGTTTAGAAAGCAATATGTGTGATGTGATAGATATACAGAGATATAGTGAGCGTTGTTCCGTTGCGTGTTGCAGTTTTTCGACTACGTGAGCATCGAGGATCCGCGCATATCGGAGTTCTGCGCGGCGACGTGCGAGCCCTCGCCGCACGCCATCCTGCGCACCTGCCTGCTGCGCAACTTCGGCGCCGGCGACCGCCACATACACACCGAGGTACCGCACGCACACACATACACACATACGCACACACACGCACATGTGCGAGCCCTCGCCGCACGCCATCCTGCGCACCTGCCTGCTGCGCAACTTCGGCGCCGGCGACCGCCACATACACACCGAGGTACCGCACGCACACACATACACACATACGCACACACACGCACATGTGCGAGCCCTCGCCGCATGCCGTCCTGCGCACCTGCCTGCTGCGCAACTTCGGCGCCGGCGACCGCCACATACACACCGAGGTACCGCACGCACACACATACACACATACGCACACACACGCACATGTGCGAGTCCTCGCCGCACGCCATCCTGCGCACCTGCCTGCTGCGCAACTTCGGCGCCGGCGACCGCCACATACACACCGAGGTACCGCACGCACACACATACACACATACGCACACACACGCACATGTGCGAGCCCTCGCCGCACGCCGTCCTGCGCACCTGCCTGCTGCGCAACTTCGGCGCCGGCGATCGCCACATACACACCGAGGTACCGCACGCACACACATACACACATACGCACACACACGCACATGTGCGAGCCCTCGATTTTTTTTAAAATGTAGAGTCACAATAAAAAGCTTTCACAATAAACATCAGACATAGTCTGTTGTGCTTTGCTGTTCACATTTTTTTTTTGGAGTGTTAAAGACTTATAATATTTGTTGCAGATGAAGAAACTTGAGTACCAAAAGATCGAGTTGACGATGAAGGTTGGTAAGCACAGTGCCACCGTAGTCTGCAAGAATAAGAAAATGGCCAAGCAACGCGCCTCGCAGGCGATACTTCAGGTAACCAAACAGTTACATTGCTCAACAAAATTTAAATTTTTTACCAATGAGTAAAGCCGACGAACCGAAAGATCCGATTTCTTAGTAGTATGAACTAAATTTTATGTAATAGCTTCAAAAGTCGGTGTTAAGATACAGCTGTATAAAATCATTAAAAAATATTATGTTTTCTTTTTATTAACAGTTAAATTTTGTTATTTATAGTGTTATAATTTGTATAGGGCATTTGCTGGTTTTTTTTCAATTTATTTTATTTTTTACCGATTTCAAAAAGGATATGGTACTCAATTCGACTGTATATTTCCTTTTTTTTATATGTGTGTTACATCATAATTTTTTTCTGGGTGAACTGATTTCGATGATTCTTTTTTATTTGAAAGCTGGTGCTTCACATGTGGTTCCATGTAAATTTGATCAATGTCTGACGGATAGTTTTTGAGTTATTCTTAATAATATATATTGAAGTCGGTTGTACTAAATTTTTAATTATTATTATAGCAGAACAGAACAGACAGAGTAAATTCTGAAACAAATTCCCTATATTTGTATTGACTGAGCCATGTGGCATTCTTTAAAGGAGCCCTAAGTTAATTAGTGGACTAATGAACGGGTGTTATGATGATGATGATGATTTTATTGTATGATTTGAGAAACATAATCACAATAAATGTTTAATGCGTTCGTTATCAGGCGCTCCACCCGCACGTGCGGTCGTGGGGCTCGCTGCTGCGGCTGTACGGGTCGCGGTCCGTGAAGAGCTGCAAGGAGAAGAAGCTGGAGGAGCAGCAGATCACGCTGCTGCAGGACAAGGCGCAGCACAACGAGCCCAACTACGCCGTGCTGGAGAAGCTGCGCCACGAGATGCGCAAGCTGCGCGAGCGCGACGCCGCCGTCGTGCCCATCGGCACGCTGCTGCTGCCCGCCGCCGCGCCCGCCGACCTGCCGCCCTCCGCCTCCGACCTGGACCGCGTGCACTTGTGATGCGCGCCCCCGCTGCACCAGCTGCACCCGCTGCACCCGCTGCACCACGTGCCCGATATGACAAACTTCACCGACATATCTCTCACTGCGTGTCGAATAAAACCAGAACCGTTCCTCACTGAATACTGAAACTGACTTCAATCTTTGAAATAATCAAACAATAAACACCTCAGTGACGCAGTGGCTTAGCAAGGAGTTGCATGGATAAGAGCCGCAGGTTTGAATCACCCATGAAACAAATATTTGTATGGCCTACAAATAATTATTCCGGATCTGAAAATTTATACCATTTATGTATGTAAACTGCCTCCACGATTCAGGGGCAAATCTTACTGTGGGGTCGTATTTCAAAACTAAGAAAAAAGAACTTGAAAAATAATGGTACATAAGTCGCTACTGATTGAAATTGTGAGTTCTGTCAGTGTTGAACTTTGTCCATTTTAGATGAAATTGTATATTTTATTAACTTAGATTAACATATAATAATACTTAATTTAGTTATATATCTTCTGTTTTCATAGTCTACCGAGTTTATATGTTATCTATTATTCTGAAATATCTCGTCTATTTAAAAAAAAACTGATATTTGTCTACGACTCATTTTACATAATCTATACTAATCTCTACTAATATAATAAAGCGGAAGAGTTTTTATGTTTTTTGGTTTGCTTAAACGCGCTAATCTCTGGAACTACCAGTCCGATTTGAAAAATTCTTTTTGTATATTATAGCCAGATTCATGTGGCATAGTATAGGCTATCTAGCATTAAGCTATATCATTCAGCTAGCCTTAAATATGGATATTTTTTTTTTTTTTTTTATAGGAGAGGGGGCAAACGAGCATGCGGCTCACCTGATGGTAAGTGACTACCGCCGCCCATGAACAACCGCAACACCAGGGGAATTGCAGATGCGTTGCCGGCCTTTTAAAAAGGAGTAGGCTCTTTTCTTGAAGGTCCCTAAGTCGTATCGGTCCGGAAAAATCGCTGATGGTAATCGATTCCACAAGGAAGTCGTGCGAGGAAGAAAACATCTTCTAAATCGCACAGTGGTGGACCGCCAATCATCCAGATGGTGTGGATGGTATCGGGAGTTCTGCCGCGATGTGCGTTCATGAAATTTGGCGGCTGGGATTAATCCGAACAATTCCTCAGAGCACTCCCCATGGTAGATGCGAAAGAAAATGCAAAGAGATGCAACATCTCTTCGCAGTGCCAATGAATCGAGCCGATCGGAAAGGGCTCGGTCGTCGACGATTCGAGCCGCTCTGCGCTGGATGCGGTCAAGTGGAAGGAGCTGGCACTGGGGAGCCCCTGCCCAGAGATGGGAACAGTATTCCATGTGAGGCCGAACCTGCGCCTTGTAAAGTTGCAGGCGGTGTGCCGGCATGAAATACTGTCCCGCTCTGCTGAGCACGCCAAGCTTTTTAGAGGCCAATTTGGCCTTCTCTTCCAAGTGACCACGAAACTGCACGTCACTCGATATGTCGACTCCGAGGATACCGATACTGGCTGAGGCAAGAAGGGGAGTGCCTTGAAACTGAGGAGACACGACAAAGGGGTTCTTTTTAGCGGTAAACGCGCAAACTTGTGTCTTCTGAGGATTAAACTGGACTAGATTTAGTCGCCCCCAATCCGAGACTTTGTCCAGCAAAGACTCGACTTCAGACACAAGTTTGTTCCGGTACTCGGCGACGTTTTCCCGAGAAATATTGGCCCGGCCGGTGTATAGAGCATCACCAGTGCTGTCATCCGCATAGCAATGAATGTTACCAGTTAGCAACATATCATTGATATGCAGAAGAAACAGCGTTGGTGATAGCACACAGCCTTGTGGAACACCAGCGTTAATAGGCTTGTAGTCAGAACATGCACCGTCTACAACGACCTTGATGCTCCGATCTGCAAGGAAGCTGGTGATCCAATTGCACAATTTCTCGGGAAGCCCATAGGAAGGGAGCTTCGAAAGAAGCGCTTTGTGCCAAACCCGATCGAAGGCCTTCGCAATGTCCAGACTAACGGCCAACGCCTCCCCCTTGGACTCTACTGCCTCCGCCCATCTATGGGTCAGGTAGACTAGAAGATCACCAGCTGATCGACCCCGACGAAAACCGTTTTTGTTAAGCAAGTCAGAAGAAAAGGCACTCCCGAAATGATTTATCCGCGTACGCTGGTGTTATCGTTAGGGATACGTAAATACAATGTTCTAGAAAAATATAGATCTTTACTCCATCTAAAAAAAAGTCCGTGATACCATATCTCTATTTCTTATACATAAGCCATAATTAGGTATTTTGTGACAAAAAAATATTGAAAATTTATAAGTGATTTATGAGCATTATTATTAGGCATGGCCTATTTATCCTTACGAACGAAAGTTGCTTCATCATCAAGTCAATTTTATGTAGATAAACTTTGTTCTTTATACCATGTTATTTGGACGCATAGTTTAAGAGATAATGTAAAATTAAAATAATTCAATACTTGGCTGGGCGCGCGAACGACACATTAACCCTAGCCGCCCGGTGAGAACTGCGAGAACTGCTCAACCGGGAGGGGGAGGGAAAGTGGATAAAACTTAACTTTGCTCTACATCATACATAATATGCCGACAGATAAAAGTACTCCATTAATTATGCCAATTTTTCCATTAAAATATTTAATTGCAATTATAAAATGCTTGAACTAGGTGTTATGTCATGTCGCGCACCCCGGACACGTGATGACGCGGGTGAAACCGCGGGGCACAGCTAGTATATTTATAAGACGAAATAGTGCTTTAACATACGAACAACTTACCCTTTTTTCACACTTTTTCACTAGTCAATTGGTAATATATTCTAATAGCTGTCAAAACAAACATTTCTTTAGAAGTTATATGATAATAAATTGTAATTAAGTCATAGTTTTTATCGTCAAATAATCATCTTATTTGTATATTTTACGACGTTTATATTAACTCGCTTTCTTGTCTGTTCGGATCGAATTTAGTAATTGATTTTAAACTAACTTCCCGAGGAGCCAGAGACTTGAAATTTTGAACAACGCTCAGAAACGAATGACAATGTTATGAAATTCACATATAAAAAAAAATCATGAAAACAATCATTTCAACACTTCACTTCGAATTATCTCAATAATATGTGTATCTTTTTGTGTAGTATATAAAATTATATTGATGACGGCTCCTTGGCACAGTGGCTTAGCCATGAGTTGCAGCGCTAAGGTCCGCGGGTTCGAATCCCGCACGGAACAAGTACTTGTATGGCCTACTAGTAATTGTTCCGGGTCTGGCTGTTCGCCCGTGTGAAATTTATGTTTGTAAACTGCCCCCATGATATAGGAGAAAATCCTAGTGTGGAGGTGAGGTTTTTATTAAAAAAAAAATTGTATCACTATATTAAAAAGTGCACGCCGAGTCGCATCGCGTCTCGTTTCGTCTCGTCGTGAACTGACACATAAACTAAATTTATGTAAAAGATACCAAAAGAATATTATTATTGAAGACAAAAGTAATTTAAAAAGAACAGTAGCAACACTAATGATAGAGGTAAACACATGAAATATTATTATATTGAACCTTAAACTAAAAACCTTAAACAATATCATATAATAACTAAAATATTATTAAAAAGGAGTCCCTTTAGGCAAGGTTCCGAATGGTTCAGCCATTCGGAATATTAGCCTGTACAAAGAGACAAACAGACAGATGATCACACAAACCGGCAGACAAAAAATTTAAAAATGTTTGCTCATATCTTAATGGCTTGTAAGTAACCCCCTCAACTCAATAAAAGTTAATTATTTCGATATTACAGACAGACATTTTAGTTTTATTTATATGTGTAGATTAACTACTTGTAGATTTTAAGTAATGAAAATTTAAAACAAATAAATTACTAATAATGATTCTATGCGAACAAAGTCGCGGGCGCAACTAGTACTTATATATTTTTTATATTATACTATTATACTAATATATATCTAGATATGTAGGTAAATGTAGGTGACTGACTCATCTAGCACGCACAGCCCAAACCGCTAGGCCAAAAATCTGAAATTAGTACTACTATTAGCTGCCTTTAACAAAGTACATTTTTAAAAAGTTTAGAGTTTTACAAAGTTGTTACAGTTTGTATGAAACTTTTTATTATATGCGTTTAAAATTTGGACATAAATATATATATATATTTATAGTATATGGCGCTCATATAATGGTATAGGATAACGCAAAAGACACCAAACCGCTTGCCTCCGCTGTTTGTTTCCTGCTTTAATTTAAAATGAAGATTACCTATAATATAATAATTGTTAATAATATATCTAACATAACGTAGCGAGTATGTAGTGAACATTATTTTTATAAATGATTTACTATACGTTCATATGTTTTACTGCTTACTGAATGTTTTCTGAACTTATTGTAATTAATTCTGCTGTGAAACATAAAATGGGCCAAATCAAGAGTACCTTTAACCGACGAGCGTGTATGCGTAGGTATATGGATGTGGAGGAAGCAAGAGACGTGTGTCAGGATCGTGCCTCTCTCTCTGGGTGACAGGCGTGAGTGTTTATGTATGTATGTAAACACTCTCAGAAATGGGGAGGAGGCCTGTGCCCAGCAGTGGGACGTGTATAGGCTGTAACTTTAACTTTTAACTTTAAATCTGCTGTGCGGAGTGCAGTTATGAAGTATATAATAATAATAATCTTTATTACGGGCCAAAATTAATCCATAGTAGTGTTAGTAACAATTGACTTATAAACTAGTGTTAGTAAACATTAATGTGTGGACAAACTTTTTCAAAATCGGAGAATTATAGTTCTCCGCTACTGTTTTCAAAGGGGTCTTTTGTTGTAGTGTATATATAGGGGTCTTTTGTTTTAGTGTATTTTATTCTGCACATGAAGTCATAAACCTTTGTCGGAGTGAAATTGGCATCCTTTTAAGTAAAGACTAAGTAACGTAGTTTGTATCATAAGTGTCTGATACAAACTACG